CCCTGGAACAACCTGCCCCCTCACAGCCAGAGCGGTGGTCTAGCCAGCTGGGAACAGGGTTTGGATGCTGTGTCTCCACCCGACCAGATCCCTGGGTCTCAGGTCAGTGCATCGCACCACAGTGCAAAGGAGTCTGTCCGCTAGGCTGGCCGGCTGGCAGTCAGCTGCAGTGTAGACATGCCCCCTGGGCCAGGCTTCTCCCCACATGTTCGCCCCCAGGAGCCGGCTCTGCATGATCTCCCTGTGGTTTTGCTCCATACCTTTCTCCCCTCGAAGAGCTCAACGAAGCCTGCGTCTCCCCCCGCTCCTGGGCCCAGCTGCTTCCCTTGTCAGAAGTTTGTTGGTCGAACGGGGGAGCATCAAGTTCAAGGAGGAAACCCAGCCATGGCGCAAGGGGGAGAAGGAACAAAACAGCAGCAGGGCTGGCATCCAACGGCTTGCCACCGGCTTTCGAAGCACACCGTACGCAGCAGCCGGTGGGGCTTTGCTCTGCTGGAAGGGATTCGTTTCTTGAAAATGGGAAGGTCACGCTAATTGACATGACCTGCGTAATTAAGCAGGCTCTGTTTACACACGGCAGCCGCGAAGCTGGCTCGGCATGACAAAATGTCTTTACCGGTGAAGAGATCAACCACCTTTCTTCTGCCCTACCTGCTCACCCACGCGGGCGCCGGCTCGCTGTTCCGAGGGAGCACGCCACGGCAGTACCATCGGAAAAGCAGCCTGCATCTTGCGAGAGTACAAAACTGGCAGGGCGTACAGCTCACCAGCCGGCTGCTTTGACAAGCCCCAGACCTGGCTGTTCATGCTAGATTGCCCTACGGCTGCGAACGCCCTTGCAGAATGCTTTTCCTTGAGGAGGACAATATATTTTTAATGAGTGGGAAATGGCAGCACTGTAGAGAGACAGGCACATGGGCCGGACATCAGGGACTCCTGCATTTGAATTCCAGTTCTGACACAGACAGGTGCATAATCTTGGTCATGTCACTTACTTTCTTGTCTCTCAGCTGTACAGCAATACTACTTATCTCCCTTGCAGGGAATGACAGGGATTAACCAGTCAGCATGTGTACAATTAAAAAGGCACGGAGTATTATTGACCCTCCTGCAATGTGTGGAACGTACAAATATGGGAGGGGATCCAGCTGGTGGAATTTTGCACAGTATTGGAAAAAGTTCAGAAAAGGGCAACAAAGATGAGGAGGGGTTTGGAACGGCTGCCATATGAAGAGAGATTAAAAAGACTGGGACTTTTCACCTTAGAAAAGAAATTAAGTGGGGGGAATAGAATAGAGGTCTATAAAATCATGAGTGGTGTGGAGAAAGTGAAAAAGGAAAAGTTATTTACTTGTTCCCATAACAGAAGAACTCGGGGCCACCAAACAAAATGAATAGATAGCAGGTTTAAAACAAACAAAAAGGAAGTTTTTCTTCATGCAACACATAGTCAATCTGTGGAACTCCTTGCCAGAGGATGCTATGAAGACCAAGATTTTAACTGCATCCAAAAAAAGTGATACATTCATGGAGGATAGATCCATCAATGGCTATTAGCCAGGATGGGTAGGGAGGGTGTCCCTAGCTCTGTTTGTCAGAGGCTGGGAATGGGCAACAGGGGAGGTGTCACTGGATGATTCCCTGTTCTGTTCACTCCCTCTGGGGCATCTGGCATTGACCACTGTCAGCAGACTAGGCTAGATGGACCTTTGGTCTCACCCAGTGTGGCCGTTCTGATGGTACGTGCCCCCTTGTGACCTTAGCTAGCCTTCTGCGCTGCTGCTGGCCCAAAGTTAACCCAGCCCCCTGGAGACAGAGCTGAATAAGAAACCTCATGGAGCTCACCTTCTTAAACCCCTCCCTTCCCTCCAACGGGGAATGGTCATCTCCACTAGACCCCTTCCAAACAAATACCCACTACCGGACCACATGGCTGCACCTACCCAGGGGAGGGGGGAAGGCTGTGCTTTGGGCACACATTTCCCATCACTGCCAACATTCTGCCGGCTCCAGCACCGGGGAGGAGGGGGGCAGTCTAGCTATCGCTCCCATGGCTCTCTTTACTCCCGGAGCCTGTAGGCTGGTACTGAGCCTGGTAAGAAGATGGACGGTTACAAATATTTGTACAAATACAAGCTCTGTTCACCCCCCCCCCTTGTCCCCCCCCACACCCAACCTCGGCTCCCCTGGGGGGTGCTTACAACAGTGGGGAAGCATGAGCCCCAAAACACTCTACTGAGGACCAGACAATGGGTGAGCGATAAGGATGTTAAATTTAGTTTAATTGACTTGGATTGTCCGTCAATTAGTCGATAAGCAGGGCACCTGCAGTGGGGTTTGCTCCCAGCGCTGGAGCTAACCCTGCTGGCTCTTAATACATTTTAAAGGCTAAAGGGCAGCACGGGGGGAGGTAGTGCGAGCCAGAAATCACCAGACATCAGCTGTCCCGGCTCGCGCCGGGCTCCCCAGCTGCACTTCTGATTTTTAAATGTATTAAGAGCTGGCAGGCCGGAGGTGCAGCATCTGGGACTGGTCACGGTCCTCTCTACCTCCCTGCCTCCCTTACCCCCACGGAGACGGTGCTGGGGGAACCGGCTTTTAAGCTGGCTCCCCCCAGCACCGGCTCCTGTTCTCCCCCTTGCTGTTTCTACTAGAGACAGCAAGGGGTGGGGAAGTGACTAGTGGAGGGACTGATCGCTTACACCCCTTGCGAGCCAGGACTGGGCCAATATAAAATTAATGCCACCTTTCAAAACCAGAACAATACATCTTTCATAGCGCAGCAAAAGACTCCGCAAAGGGAGCTTGTTTTGGATTTTTAGCAGAACCGTAGATCTGATTTTGCCACAGGACCCCCCCCCTCCCCTCCCCGCCAAATAAATATTGCTCACTCACTCAAATTCTTTACTGGAAGGCACACGTAGGATAGAGCAAGAGAGAAGCAGCCGTGTGACTCAACACAGCAACTGAATGGTCCCTTCTGTGTCTTCCTTTCACATTTTTATGCCCCAAGGGGAGGGTATCATCTTGAAGTCTCCTCTTGCCCAGAGCGTGAAAACCCAACAATTTCCTGCTGTCCTTTGACCTCCCCAAACCTGACAGCAGCTTGGTACATTTCAGTAACTTCCCGTTAATGACCCGCTCAGTTTGGGTCCAATTATTTCTACCCCCACAAGCTGATTCTCTGGAAAGAAGGAAGCGTGGCATACTGACCTGGAATCTCCGCATGTCTCGGGGATTTCCCGCATTTTTTAGGCAATTTTGGTTACATTTGAGAAAAAATTTCAAGAAGAACCTGTGGAGAAAAGAGAGACCATCGTTAACCACAGCGCCATGGCCAATTCCGGAGTCTGATCCAATAACACCGCACGCTATTAGCAGTCCTTACTCCCACAAGTTGTCCCTTTGAGTGGCCACATCGGTAAGGAACACACCCCTTTACCTGCCACCAGCAAAGCATTTTGGCTCTAAGGCTAGAACACCCCCCGTGGCCTGCCACCAGCAAAGCATTTTGGCTCTAAGGCTACATCTACACTACGAGTTTTCTCGACAAAAAAATATGCTAATGAGGGACTCATTTGCATGTCATGATCTCATTTGCATATTTTCTGCCTATTCGTTTTTGCATTGGGTTTTTTTGCGCAAAAACAAGCAGTGTGGATGTTTTCTTTTTGCGCAAAACCCCCTTTTTCCGCAAGATCACCTACCGATCTTGTGGGGAAAGGGGGTTTTGCGCAAAAAGAAAACATCCACACTGCTTGTTTTTGCGCAAAAACGGATTGGCATTGAAAATGCAAATGAGATCATGACTCATGCAAATGAGTCCCTCATTAGCATATTTTGCCGAGAAAACTCATAGTGTAGACGTAGCTTGAGAGTGACACACGCACGCTTAAGAGCTTTGCTTCCTTACAGCCATGTCGTGTGCAGAATTGGTCCCTATGAAACGTGACTAGCGTCAGGGAATCCCATTCTCTCCCACAGAGCCAGGAAGTTAAAGAACACACCATTTCAATACAGCAAAGAGGGAGCACAAATATGCCGGGCAAGAAACCTTCTCTCTGCATCCGAGGTTTCATCTCCCCAGTTCATGTGTCACACGCAAACCAAGTTTGCCAACATAAGGGAAGATTGTTCGGGAGAATTTACACGAAGGAACAAACAAGCCATTGCTCAGTGTGAGGGGGGAAGTCTTGGTTAAAAAGCCCATCTCCTAGCAGAAATGAAATTGCTGCCAATAGCTAGATGCAGCTCTACGACCTCGGCGTAGATCTTTAAGAAGAGACCCTGCATTTTACAAGCCCCGCCCCCCAGAAGCAAACATTCCACTGAAAATACTTTCTTTGCTGTTATGCACCAATGGACTGTAAAGCCATAAAGACAAGTCAGTGAATAACAGTGGGTCTCACATTCTTTGCTTCCTCTTCAACAGCCAAGGTTTATCTGCCTTTTGTCCAAAATAAACTGCGGCCAGCTCTCTCCTAAAGCTTTAAAACCAGGTGCTACCAGACAGAGCATCATTATACCTGTAATAGCTGTTGATTAAGCAGGCAGAGGCTAATTTAACCGGTCTCTGCTGCTAATGATGCATTGGGGGGAGATTGTTATGGTTTTACTTAACATTGGAAAGTTAATTTTTTTGCAAGCATCCATCCTGATCCCCAGAGAGAACCCAAGGTGGCCACTATGGCCATGTCTACGCTAGGAAATTATTTCAAAATGACTACATTTGACTTCACTCCTGATTTAACAATCAAACTAGTGTGTTCACACTACTTGGAAGCCTTGAAATTAGTCTGAGGCAGGCTCTGTTATTGTGGACACGCGACGAACCCCAGGAAGCATTGGGGAGTAATTAGTTCGAATGACTCTGGGAGGAGTTATTTCAAAATAGCGACACTGACACGTCCACACTACCATTATTTCAAACGCTTTCAGAATGAGTGTTATTCCATAAGGAAAGTAGGAGTACAGATTTCAAAATAAGCGGCTCATTATTTCAAAATAACGGTCTTGGTCGTGTGGACACGCCACTTATAAATTCGACCTAAGTGGGGTTATTTCAAAATAATGCCCTAGTGCAGACCAGGGCTAAGTGGCATATCTAGCGAATGCAGAAATAAAGGAGGGCAAAATTGGGCGCATGGCCCAGAAACATTTCACAGGCCTGTTTTTCTGGCTGGTGTTCTCTGATGGCGCTCCCTCCACCCCCACCCTCACCCCCAGCTCAGCTGCATCCTAAAGAGGCCCGTTTAGCTCTTGTGTCAGCTCCTTCGCACTATAGAAACCATATTAGGCAGTGGTCACACTGACACATGTAAACGACAGGGGGCTACTTTCAGTAACAGAAATAAAAGAGACCGACCTGCTTATCAAATAATAAGCAGCCACAAGCCACTGGTGGCAGCAGTGGCGGGGGGGGGGGGCAGCAGTGGCGGGTCAGGGTGCCGTTTGTTTTCACTCAATTAAAGAGGGGAATAAGCCACTGCATTTTCTCATCAAGTGGGCCTGGCTGTTCGAGAAGCGAGCGCTGGGGCTATTTGTCGGGTGTGTGTCTTTTTAAGCCTCTAATGGCCAGCTGTGACAGCCAGCCTCAGATTGTGTAGAAGGAGCTGTCAGCACAAATATTGGCATCTTGAAGCCAGACCCGTTTGTTTTCACTCAATTAAAGAGGGGAATAAGCCACTGCATTTTCTCATCAAGTGGGCCTGGCTGTTCGAGAAGCGAGCGCTGGGGCTATTTGTCGGGTGTGTGTCTTTTTAAGCCTCTAATGGCCAGCTGTGACAGCCAGCCTCAGATTGTGTAGAAGGAGCTGTCAGCACAAATATTGGCATCTTGAAGCCAGACAACTGCTTGCCACCAGCCGCAGGTTTGTTCTCGTGCCAGACTGGATTTTGAGAGACAAGCAAATAGGGCATTAATTCCGCCAAAGCAAAACGAAATGCAGGGAAGAGTTCAGGATCTTACACTTCACATGGTGGCTTTCCTGTCAACAGCCCATCATTTAGCTCATGAGCTATGAAGGGCACGGACATTAGATCCCTCCTGCCCTAAGCTAGCCCTGTCATGCGGAATGCTGGCAGAATAGCGAGACCACCCCTCCACGGGAGCTCGCTGGCTGAAATAAAAAGCCCGGCCATCTGTTGGGAGGCAAAGACGTCCCCTGTCAGCTGGTGCCTGGAGCCTCAAACAGGCCCTTATGTGGCAAAGTCTCTCAGAACCGCTTATTCTTTAGGGAAAAGTCAGCTTTGCCCCAGGGTTTTGCTAGAGAATTCTTCAGAGTTTTCCAGAATGTAGGAGCCAAGCAGCTGACCGCTTTGGCTGGAGCTTCCCTCAAGGAATATATAACCGGGAAGGGGGGAGGGAGAGGTAACAGTTAAAAATATCTGCACCGAGGGACGGAGTCAAACGTGCACACACAGAAAATATTGATCATGCTAACTTTGCAAGGCGTGTCAACCCGGGGGCGTGTGTGCCTGTGCATGCTGATCAACTTTAAAGTCCCCTTTCCCTCCCAAAAAAATAAGGGAAGCTCTAAACCAAGCCCTATCAAATCTCTAAGCTGAACAAGCAACGTCGTTCTCTTGTTTTATAAGCTGGTGCCAAAAGCTCCAAACACCTACATGAAACACAACAGCTTGGCTCTGCAACGTCTAATTCCAACGCGACAAAATGTTTACCATCCATAACATGGGTGAGTCTCGCTTGAGATCAATGGGTGTTCTCCCTCCCCCCCCAGAAGCTGAAGAAGCATTGAGGTCTGTTTAGTTAGTTCTAACAAGCCCCCCAAAACGGGCGACACTTGTAAACTCCAATGAAATGATTTATAAAACAACCAACCAGCCATTGCATTTTGGAGAGGAACTGTCAAGGCACAGAGTTCACATCTTATCATTTCTTTTGCTTTGTTTTAAAACAGAAATCAACGGCTCCAATCTTGTGTTCTTATTCCACCGAGAAACCAACCAACATACAGCCTAAGTGTGGTCTCTACGCTTTCATCTGAAGAAGTGCTCAGTGCCCATAAAAGCTCGTGGTCCCCGCTACATGTCTGGTTCGTCTTTAAGGTGCTGCTAGACGATTGGTTGGTTTTTAAGCTCTACCTGCAGGAAAGCCCCGTGAGTCGTTATACCCTAAGCTGTGAGAAACGTGGGTTTGGTTCCTGGCCAGTGATGTGCCTAGCACCCAGTTCGGCGCAAATCTCCATGATCCGCAGAATCTGACCCCGTGTTACTTGGCTGTGAAGAGAGAACCTCTGCCTGTCATGCTGACAAACACTCCCTCCCAGTTACCACCCACTCCCTGGTGTCTGAGTCCATCTGCTGCCCCTTGTCCTAGACCTGCTCTTTGGGACAGAGCCTGGTTTTGTTCTGTGGTTTGTACAGCGCTTAGCACAATGAGGTACCAGTCCATGACTGAGATGCCGAGGCTCTGCAATAATACAAACAGGAGAAAATGGGGGACAGGAGGAAAATCAAAGGGGGCTCGGTGGGCACGTGGTTTAACTCAAGGGTGTTCTAGTGATCAAAGAATCGTCAGCTCTGCTACATTCTCCAGCCTGAGCCTCATCCTGCCTCCTTGCTCTGCAAGGCGTCCAGTGGTAAGAGATCGACCGGCGGGAGTGATGAGAAACGTAACTTACGTGTGTATTTGTTTACATCTAACTTCTGCTGCTGACAGAAACCATGTATTGGATATTTGTTATTGCAGACTCAACCTCTCTCGTCCAGCCTTCTCTAATCCGGCAACATCCGTGGTCCGGCATGATTTTAGTGAGCCGGATGTCATGAATCATAGAACCCTAGAGCTGGAAGAGACCTCAGAAGGTCGTCAAGTCCAGCCTCCTGCCCAAGGCAGGACCAATCCCAACTAAATCAACCCGGCCAGTGCTTTGTCAAGCCGAGACTTAAACACCTCTAGGGATGGAGACTCCACCACTTCCCTAGGGAACCCATCCCAGTGCTTCACCACCCTCCTAGGGAAATAGTTTTTCCTAATATCCAACCTGGACCTCTCCCACCTCAACTTGAGACCATTGCTCCTTGTTCTGCCATCTGTCACCACTGAGAACAGCCTCTCTCCATCCTCTTTGGAACCTCCCTTCAGGAAGTTGAAGGCTACTCTCAAATCCCCCCTCACTCTGCTCTTCTGCAGACTAAACAGACCCAACTCCCTCAGTCTCTCCTCCTAGGTCATATGCTCCAGCCCCCTCATCGTTTTGGTTGCCCGCTGCTGGCCCCTCTCCAACGCGTCTACATCCTTTTTGTAGTGGGGGGGGCCAGAACTGGACACAAT